TCCGTTTGGATGCCTCAACGGTATACTGTAACTACCTTGTGTTTGGGCTTGTATAATTTTTGCTTTTTAGTTTTGACTTTTTGTTTGTTATTAGTTTTTGGTTTTTTGAAGTCGGTTTCTTAAACGCAGTTTTTATTTTTAACGAGATTAATCTCGATCCGAACATGGGCTAGATCTCGCAAGATTAACGAGATCACTTTAGTAAAAGACTTTTGTTTGATATAAGAAAAAAATACTTGTACGACTTCAAAAAAAGGAGGAAGTTCTCAAGTCGTCGAAGTCATTATCTTTGTGATGTTCACAGATTATTCGAAGGCGCCTGATATAATTTGAACTTTTTTTTCTAAAAGGGTCCTACCTCACTGAGTGCATTCCAGAATCTCATGATGCGTTCCCTGAGAAACCTATCAGTAAGTGGGTGACTAACCTATCAGTAAGTGGGTGACTAACCTATCAGTAAGTGGTTGACTAACCTATCAGTAAGTGGGTGACTAACCTATCAGTAAGTGGGTGACTAACCTATCAGTAAGTGGGTGACTAACCTATCAGTAAGTGGGTGACAAACCGATCAGTAAGTGGGTGACTAACCTATCAGTACTAATAATTAATAGTTATTTGTTGCCTTGATTGTTACTCTTACACGTCAAAATGGCTGAAGGGATCGGTATGAAGTTTGGAACCCGATTGGTTTATCATTGTCTAGAATAACAAATATACTATTTTCTCACTTTTCTCCCGAGGGATCGCGGATCGAGCCGAAGCTAGTAAAATATATATAAAAAAAATTGAGATCTTTGCCCCACACTAGGAATTTCTCCTGTAGGTGCGTTTACAAACATACAAGTTCACATACACATGACACCCATAGCCGGATATCTGAGTCTGTGGAATCTGAAAATCCTCGGAATCTGTGGATCACACAAAGAGTTGTTCCGTGCGGGAATCGAACCCGCGACACGTTGCGCGGCAGTCAGTTGCCCAACCACCGCGCCAACCTTGTAGTCATACAAAAAAATAATTATATATTATGTCTACTTTTAATCAGGACAACTCTAGAAATCAAACGTCGAACACAGCATGGGACACATAAAACACGAAACGGTTCAAATATAACAGATAGCTCACGACGACATGCCTGAAGGGTCCCTGTCACTACGAAGAGGGCACAAAATAGGGCCTGAGGTACACTTGACGGAATGATTAAGAATGTGGGTCAAGCGTATCTAATGCCTAACGTGTTTCTTTCGATCCAAGTGATGGATTCATGAAGCTCTGTTGATTTTTGAGTGTTCAATGGCTGAGGTGTCGTCTTTATGTGTTTGGGAATGCTTTAAATATTTTCTTCGCAACATTTTTACTGAGTGTGCCAAAAATACTTCCCTGTTACCAATTTCTCCCGTAGCTATTATTGCATAAGTACTTATCTAATTAAAAGGTATATTAGAATCATTTGTATTTCTTATCATACATTTCGAAATATTGTAAACATGTCGCAATTGCGACTGCCGAGCAAGGGGTCTCGGGTTCGATTCCCGGGTCGGGCAAAGTATTACTGGGTTTTTAAAAAATTCTCAGTAGTAGCACGGAGTCTGGAACTGTGCCCGGTATATGGCAATAGGCTCACCCCCTATTACATGGGACTCATAACATAAATAGTGAAAAGTAGGTGTTACATTGTACAGTGGTATAATGTGCACCTCTGCCTACCCCTTTGAGGATAAAAGGCGTGTATGTAAACATGTCTTTTAGTTCCAGAAATTATCATGTGCAAGTAGACAAACATACTGGTGAAGCGTCAATGCCTTTTTCATACGTTAGATATTTCTTAAATAATCTATAAAATATCTAATGTTGGAATACTAAAACGTTAGTCAATTTTAAGTCGTGCTTAAACATCGTGCCATCTCTGTCATTTCACAAAGAATTTGTAGAGACAGAACTATACTTAATCACGACTTAAAATTGAGTAACGTTTCATTATTCCGGCGTAAGTTATTTTTCCCACGCTTAAGAACAGTATTTCCCTTATTTTTCATAAAAATAGTATTATAATTGAATGCCTGTTGATGTCTCAGATCGTCATTATTGGCTACCGCAACGCCCATTGGTTATCGTATCGAGTGCTTTCTGGAGATTCTCTTGAATACCACAGAGGCATCTTCCCCTCATCCTGGTTCCAAGTGGCCCCCTGGATTGGTTGCTATCCCCGCGACTTCCCCCTGAATACCCTTTCTCTTATTTCACGTTTGATATTCTGGCATCATCTGACAAAACATTGCATCACAAAACACACTCAAGCAATTATTAAATCGACTAAGGGCCAATTTTTCAATCATCAGTTTTAACTGTAGAATTAAATTGACATTTGATAGTGTTTAGTACGGAAAAATTGTCAATATTAAATGTTCAAAGTTATTCCTTAGTTAAAATTTATTTGTTGCTGGAAAAATCGGCCCTAAAACAATGTTTCCACTAATTGCTTTACATTCCAACATCAACAGCTTCAGATACGTATTTTGCGACATATTTATTAACCAATTTTAAAAATAAAACCAATAATAAACAATTATACCTACTATATTTATTTCAAACATAATCATGTACAAATACGTTTCACTTATAGCTATATCAGGTCCACAATAATAGGTGCCTGAACTAGGACACCGGTGTTTTAGGTGAGAGTAGGAAAAAAAAGTAAAATGATTTATATTTATCAGCACCCATATGAAGTTTCTTGGTCATTCTTCTCCATTCGGAATTACACTTTTGGAACGAGCGCCTAGCTTCACTGACAGTCAGACGGACGGACAACTCATGTTTTGGCGTTTCAAAAGTGCCTAATTAAGGATAAATTGAAAAAAAATGCTTTGACTTTGACCCACATCTTAGCTAATATTCTTGAATAAATTAAGAATATGACAATAGTTTTGATTAAAAGTAACCACATTATAATTATACCCCTCTTTGAGGAGTGGCTTGAGAGACGCTACGGCGTCCTCACCAACCGCCTGACGCAGGTCCTCCCGGACATGGAAGTTTCGAGAGGTACCTGTGTCTGATAGGGCGGGAGGAAACGCCCAGGTATCAGCACTGCGAAGTCCGCCTTGAGGACATGGTGGAACACAAAGTAGGCGAATGCCCTGCGTGTGCTGAGCACTGCCGTGCCCCCAGGGACGTGATCGGCGACGGCGACCTCTCGCGTCCGGCCCTAGTGTGAGTCATGATGCGGAGCGAGGGGACTGGGATGCCGTCTCCTCCTTTTTCGAAGCAGTCATGCTAGGTAAAGAGACTGCTCTCGCCTGGGTGAGCAAAACGCTGCCTCCTCACAACCCAGACGTCGTGAAGGACACTCCGGGCGTCGGGGATCACGGGACGATCTTCGGCAACCGGAAGCACGGGCCCGCGGACGGCGAGCATAGGTGGCTCGCCGCCCGACCAGAACCAGACCCGAGCGTGCGGTGAAAGCTAAAAGAACCATCAGACCACCACAGATGGGGCCCAGGGGATGACGGGTTACCAGGGCTCCGGCTCGAAGTGCAGGAGTAGGAATGGGGTGGTTTTTAGTCAGTAAGAGTCTGACACTCACTCCCGCGTCACCCAAGCAAGCCATTCGATGATTTTCCCACTTAAAAAAAGGTACTATGTAACTATTATATTAATAACTTATCTGTGTCTTAATAGGACATGTCTCTAAGTAAGAAGACATCATTTAGGTTTTCCTTTAAATACATAATGTCTAACAGGAGTTTCAGTTCACGAAAGGCGTTTAAAAAGTTGCAGTGAATTGTTCACTGCAGTGCAGTTTCCGTCAAGTAGTACCTACTAATCATGTCACCCAGGCGTCACTGCGTATCATGCACGCTATAAAATAAACACAAAAATCGTCACCACTCGACACGTGCAGTATAGTCGACAACACCGTTTTGGAGACTCGGTTGCCAGAGAAGATGTTTATGGTAATGTTTGTCTTCAAAGTAAACGCCCTTTGTTGCAAAACACTAATTTATTATAAGAAACGAAATTAACGAACAATTACAAAATTAACATAAAAAAATGATCTTCGCTTGAAGTTGCTAGCAGAAAATTGTGTCGAAATTATAACAAAAACCTGCGTTTAAAAAAACCGACTTCGAAAACTAAAACCTAAAACAAGCAAAAGGTAAAAACTAAAAAGCAAAAAATAATAGGTTACCCATCCACTGATAGGTAAGAAGTCGGTGCCACAAGCCCATAACAAAATATAACTTAGGTTGATGGTCAGAGCTATAATCTGTCATAAAATTGTACACAGCTTAAATTTTATAGCGGCTTATAACGTAGTTGTTACGGGTTTAAACAATGATTTTTGTTTAAAACTTCTGGCATCGACTTATTACCTATCAGTGGCTGGGTAACCTATAAGTACGTACATATGACTAATTAGTTAATTTTTACTTTTTAGTTTACTTTTACTTTTTACCTTTTGCTTCTTTTTATGTTTTGGTTTTAAATTCTTAGTTTTTGAATACGGCTTTTTATAGTAATTGGTTCCATTGTTGTGTGTTGTTTTCATAAAAATACGGGTACGGCAAGGTAGTAATCCGTATGTTTACAACATAATTTATAATTTCTGTGACTTGTAGTATACTGTTAGAAAGGGTATTAACTAAGGAACTTTTTGAAATAAAGCTAAGTTCAAAATGGCTTATAGTGTTTTTTTGTAATTAGCTAGGAATGTGTAAATTTTCATACGTGTAGGTAAACGAAAAATGTAATATTGGAAGATTGTAATTTTTTATTATTTCTATTAAACAAATATGTATTTATATTTCATAGACTTTGAAATATATAACAAAATAAATTTTGGAACACGACAAACATTATGGCTAACCTCCCAAATCCATATAGAAATTGTGTCCGTCTAAATGCCAAACACTCTGTGTATGTAGCTTAAAACTAGAAAAAGGATATTGAATAGTTTTTATCCCGCTAATCTCACGGGAACGGGAACTATGTGAACGCTAACGCATACCGAACAGTGTGAGGAGTATAACACAGCACGCTGATGTGACCCATGTGTCTGGGTTTAGGCACTGGCCTGCACCTATAGCCTCATACTTTAAGTTATCGTCCACAACAAGAGAAGGCCACTTAACAGTGTTACCCCCAACATCTTGAGAGATACCCCAAAAGTGGTCTTCCTTACGCCTTAAGCCATATCCGTGACCACCCTGACCTTGTTGTGGAGGACCTTGATGTGGAGGACCTTGATGTGGAGGACCTTGATGTGGAGGACCTTGATGTGGAGGACCTTGATGTGGAGGACCTTGATGTGGAGGACCTTGATGTGGAGGACCTTGATGTGGAGGACCTTGATGTGGAGGACCTTGATGTGGAGGACCTTGATGTGGAGGACCTTGATGTGGAGGACCTTGATGTGGAGGACCTTGATGTGGAGGACCTTGATGTGGAGGACCTTGATGTGGAGGACCTTGATGTGGAGGACCTTGATGTGGAGGACCTTGATGTGGAGGACCTTGGCCATGTCCTCGACCACCCGGACCTTGACCCTTGCCTGGTCCACCAGGTCCACCTTCTCCACCTTGAGGTGGAGGTCCGTTTCCACGATCACCAACACCATATGCACCAATTTCATTACGTTTTAAGTCTTCTAAAATACTAGGGTCACATGACCAACGATTGCCGAAACTCGATTGAACACCGTGACCTGGAGGTGGGGGTCCAAATTGACCGCCAGGACCTGGAGGTGGGGGTCCATATTGACCGCCATGATCTGGAGGACCCGAGGGTCCCTGTTGATCACCGTGACCTGGAGGACGGGGTCCCTGTTGACCTGGTTGTTTGGGTCCATAATGAGCACCGGGTATTGGCGTACCGGTGGATTCATCTGGCGGAAATGTGTAAGGGTCTGCGTAAAAACCATCTGCTGGTTCATCTGTAGTTCCACGCACTATGGGCTCCCCAAACATATGAAACTCCAATACCGCACTGCCTTTAAATTCCAATTGTATGTATAGGTCATAACTGATCACTTTGCCAGTAGGCACTCCTCCATGCAAGTACTCGATTTTACTATTTGGATGAGTCATCGGATCTATATCAGACGTATCATTGTCAGATTTCTCAGCAGGTGGCATAATTTCTGTGATGGCAACCACTTTAAATATATCATCAGGTGATCTGTTTCCAGAGTTACCACCACCACCACCGGTGCCGTCCTCAGGAGTGAAATTGATTTCGTCTCTCAATGTTAAGAAAGCCTGCGACCGCTTTGTACACTGCACCTGAAAATTGAATTCCGAGATATTTTATAAAGTTATTATTTACGTAAGTAGGTGTTTAATTGTACAGTGACATTAAGTGCCGTAATGTGCACCTCTGCCTACCCGTTCAGGTATAAATATCGTGATGTTAAGATGCTATGTATTTAGGTATTATTATCTGCCCCCAACTTCATTCGCGTAATTTTTTTTTATATATTTGATTACCTAGCCTTTATCTTGCCTGGTGATAAGCGATGATCTAATCTACTTCGGAGCACGTCTGCCCATGAACGACCTATACACTAGGGCGTTGAAGACACTCAGGTTTTCCAGGACACCGAGAATTCCAATCATTAGCAGTTCGCATAAGGAACCTTGAAGCGAAACTCTTCGTGCGAGTGGGTAGGACATGCCCATGACAAAGAATATAATATAATAATCCGTATAACAAGCTACACCCGACGAATCAATTAAATTATTTAACATAGTGTTACGTTCATATTGCCAGAGATCACACTCCCAGAGTATGTGATGGACGGTCTGCTCGTATTGCAACTCCGCTGTCGAACCTTGGCACCATGGTGAATCAACAAGTTTAAATGAGAACAATTTCCTTTTAAAGTTAATATATATATATTATGTATTGTTTCATGTTCGCTTCATACATAATTGTTTGCCTTACTTAGCATCAAACGCCGTTTTTTATTTTCCATGTTTCTATCACGCCCTTAAATTGTAGAAGTTGTGGCGTAATGGTTGTCCACGCAAAATGTTCTGTTACAAATTGCTATTTCAAGTATCTAACATAACATCACGCCTTTTATCCCCGAAGGGGTGTAATAGCCATGAAATAGGGGGTGACCATACTTCTATATACCGGGAAAAATTCCAGACTCCGTGCTACTACTAAGATTTTGTGCTACGACTGGAAACTAGCCAACGAGGATGTCAAGTACAAGTATGTGAATAAAAAACAAATAAATACAAAAATGATTACCGTCAGTGTGACGCAGGAGCATGCTGGTATGTTCAAGTCGTACATTGATATCTAGAAACATTAAAACATAATTCACGACTGTTATGAATAACTAATCTATTACAAAATCTTCAGGTGTAAGATAGGAAATAAAGTATTTGTATACGTATCGTAAATTAATTATGTATGAAACATACAATCGATATGTTACATTTAGGCGCCATCTCTACGAGCGAGAGAAACCAAGTGATAAGATCGTCTTTGCAACGTATTACTATAATTATACTCTCTATAGACATGTCTTCATACAGAGCGATGTTCTCGCGTTGATATGACAAATGATTCTTTATTATATTTGGTTATAATCGATCGTAGTTTTTATGTTTCATGGGCCGACGTTTGGCCACTATCTTGCATGGTAGTAAGCGATGATGCGGCCTGCGATGGAGCTCGTCTGCCTCATAAGCACCCCATCGTATTGGCATAATTGTCATCGTATCGTCATCCCAATAATTCGATATAATTTGTAGCGATACACTCGCGCTGATGGAATAATTACTTGTTAGTAGAAATTATCCGACGATAAAAGTGCGGACCGGTCATGATTCTCCTACTTGTGGAGTCAGTGCAAAGTGCCTAAGTTAATCCTTACTTCCTTACTTATATTATAAATCGGATAGTGAGTTTGTTTGTTTGTTCCACTTTAACGCCGTAACTACTAAACCGATTGCTTTGAATTTTTGCACATGTATAGTTAGAAGTCCGGATTAAATAATAGGGTACTTTTTATCCCGGAAAAATTTGATTCCCGAGGAAAAACAAAAGTATTGGTAGGTATAGATGGCGCTGTGTGTATTGGTATATGTCACATTGGCTTTTTATACTTTTGTGACGCGAGCGAAGCCGCGGGTAAAAGCTAGTGATGACATAAACTAAAAAGAGAAATCAGTCACATTTCACGGATATCGTGATGCAGACTACACCTACTCTATGCCAATCTATCCAAGAGTTTGTTTTAACAGCTTTGTTTATGTGCCCTTTGAACACTAACAAAATATCTTTACTAGCTAAAACACCGGCTCCCGGTATAAAACACATTATACCCGCAACTTTCAACAGACTAGAGGATATGACTTATGAATCGTGGAAGTTTTTGACACGAATTTTACTTTGACGTGGAGGGAGCTATGTTTCGTTTCGGTTTGCGATTAACGTTACCGGAGGCTCAATCATCTCCAATAGGCAAATCGCATTTGTAACTCCTCTAGTATTACAAGAGTCTATGGGCGGCATCAATTCCTTATCATCGATGCATCTGCTTGTACCACACAATCTCATGAAAGTGTTATTTTTGAAACAGTTTTATTTACCTTGCCCCATTTACCATACAATATAATTTAACTTTACTTCTACAACTTCCTCTAGTATAAATATAAAAAATTTTGCTTGTTTGATAGAAGAGAGCTCAATAAACCGTTTAACATAAAAAGTATACGTATTACTTATTGTGGAACGTACATAGATATAAAAAGGGCAAAATCGTGAACTTATTTGAAAAAATAAAATTGTTGTACTCGTATTTGTTGAATTTAGTTATTTTTTGTAATTCATGAAATGGTGATGAAATCCTTACTTATCCTTACTTCCTTGCAGAGGGCGCTCCACGGTGGACGCCATCATGCGCGTTAGAGACCTCACGACGGGGACTGCAGTGTCCAGGGGTAAGGTCGTAGTGGCGGTGTCTCTGGACATCGCCAACGCCTTCAACTCCCTGCCCTGGAGCTGCATCTTGGAGGCACTCCGATATCATCGGGTGCCTACCTACCTCCGTCGTGTAATCGAGGCTTACCTGACGGACAGGTCCGTCAGCTACCCCGGTCACCGGGGCGAGTGGAACCGGCGAGAGATGTCACGCGGTGTTCCACAGGGTTCGGTTCTGGGGCCGCTCCTGTGGAACATCGGCTATGACTGGGTGCTGCGCACCGACCTCCCGAACGGCGTTAGCACTATATGCTACGCCGACGATACGCTGGTGCTGGCGCACGGGAGGTCACACCAGGCGGCGGCCGACTTAATGGCGACAGCGGTTGCGACAGTCGTTGAGAGAATCCGGCAGTTGGGACTCGAGGTGGCGCTCCACAAGTCCGAGGCCATGTGTTTTCATGGCCGCGGGAACGCGCCACCTCCGGGTGGGTCCCAAATAACGGCGGGAGGAGTTACCATCGGCGTCGAGACGACGATGAAGTACCTAGGACTCGTCCTCGACAGTCGGTGGAACTTCATAGAACACTTCCGACGTTTGGCTCCAAAGTTGGAGAGGACGGGGGCTGCGTTTAAACGCATCCTCCCCAACCTCGGGGGGCCAAACGCCTCCTGCCGGAGGTTATACGCCGGGGTCGTGCGGTCCATGGCCCTCTACGGCGCCCCTGTTTGGGCGCCTAACCTGTTGCGGCGTCCCGCTCGGACGCTGCTCATGGCACAGAGGGTCATGGCGATCCGAATGATCCGCGGATACCGCACGATCTCTGGGGAGTCGGCGAACCTCCTTGCCGGATTACCGCCGTGGGATCTGGAGGCGAAGGTGCTCGCGCGCGTGCACAGCATGCGCGCGGAGGCACGTCGCCGGGGCGAAACTCCGCTGCCGCGCCAGATAAGTGCGTGGCGGGATGAGCTCCGGCGCGATCTCATGGCGGAATGGCAGCAGCGACTGTCGCAACCGAGGGCTGGGCTCGCTGCCATTGCAGCGGTAAGTCCCCTCTTTGAGGAGTGGCTTGAGAGACGCTACGGCGTCCTCACCTACCGCCTGACGCAGGTCCTCACCGGACATGGCAGTTTCGGGAGGTACCTGTGTCTGATGGGGCGGGAGGAAACGCCCGGGTGTCATCACTGCGAGGACCGCCCTGAGGACACGGTGGAACACACGGTGGGAGAATGCCCTTCGTGGGCTGAGCACCGCCGTGTCCTCAGGGAAGTGATCGGCGATGGCGACCTCTCGCGTCCGGGCCTAGTGCAGGCCATGATGCGGAGCGAGGGGGATTGGGATGCCGTCTCCTCCTTTTGCGAAGCAGTCATGCTAGCTAAGGAGGAGGCGGGACGCGTGAGGCAGCGAAGCGCTGCCTCCTCGCAACCCAGCCATCGCGAAGGACACACCGGGCGTCGGGGATCGCGGGACGATCTCCGGCCACCGTAAGCGCGGGCCTGCGGACGGCGAGCATGGGTGGCTCCCCGTCCGACCAGAAACAGACCCGAGCGTACGGCGCGTCGCGTTCCGCGCGCGCCTCAAAGAGCCATCAGACCACCACAGATGGGGCCCAATAGGGCCGATGCCGATTCGGAGTCGCGGAGAACCTAACGGGTAACCGGGGCTCCGGCTCGACGTGCAGGAGAAGGAACGGGGTGGTTTTTAGTCAGTAAGAGTCTGACACTCCCTCCCGCCTCACCCAGGCGGGGGCAGTCATTCGATGATTTTCCCCCCTTAAAAAAAAAAAAAAATCCTTACTTCCTTACTTATATTATAAATCGGAAAGTGAGTTTGCTTGTTTGTTTGTTTGTTTGTTCCGCTTTCACGACGTAACTACTGAACCGATTGCTTTGAAATTTTGCAGAGGTAAAGTTAGAAGTCTGGATTAAATAATAGGGTACTTTTTATCCCAGTAAAATTTGATATTCCCGAGGGAAAACAAAAGTATTGGTATAGATGGCGCTGTGTGTATTGGTATATGTCACATAGGCTACTTTTTATCCTTTTGTGACGCGAGCGAAGCCGCGGGTAAAAGCTAGTACCTTATATACGACGACTCCAGTTGATTCGGGTGCTTCGAGCTCAAATCGCTCTCGATACATGAGCGCTCGGCTTGACTGGCATGCTTTCCAATACATTTCTTGCGTCGTGTCGACTAAAAAGACGAAAAGTTGCATAATTTTAGGTTTTTATCGAACAAATTTCGATTACTATCTTTAAAACTTTTAAATCGACAGTTCTAATGGAACCCTAAAATGCTGCACATGTTAGTAATTTAGGTTACATCGCTGAGAAAGAAATAAAAGTAGAGATGGAGAAGAGGAACAATTTTACACTTATTTATTTATTATTTATTTTATTTTTTATTTATTTATATAAAGATAAAGAATTTGTTTCTTTGAACGTGCTAATCTCCGGAACTACAGATCCGACTTGAATAATTCTTTTTGTATTGGATAGTGCATTTATCGAGGAAGGCTATAGGATATAAAACATCACGCTATAACCAATAGGAACCGAACAGAGTGTGTGAAACTGCGCGAAAGTAGCTAGTCTATAATATTTAAAAATGTTTAATGAATGATTTGCTACAGAATTTGTTCAATAAGTGTACTATCGTAAACTTTGCCGTACAGTACATTAGCTATACTCGGAATTTTAATTCGATTCCAGATTTAACAATTTCAGTGCTGCAACGTTATGACAACTACTAAATAGTGACGTTGCGAAATTATTCGATATGGAAATGGAATATTTCGGGATTTTGACGATTTTGACGATTAATTAACGATCTGAGACTTTTCTTTTATAATTGTGTGTGAAAATAATAAAAGAATGTAACCATGAAGGAACATAACAAATAAAACAGATAGATGTATTATGGTAATAATTTATTTTATAAATTGTCGCCGTCATCGCTATCGCTATCGCTGACACTTTCTGTAACATTTATTATAAAACACACACACTGATTGTTTATCGATTTTTGTGTTCATCACTACACTATTATATGTGGTATCATTATTTCACAAAATGACAGAAGCTAATGTCAAATCTGGAATGGAATTAAAATTCTGACTATAGTTATCAAGTAAGTACATAATTATGTATGTACATGTACCTATAGTAATCAAATACAGATGATGTATATATAACCTATTATCTTTTGTAACACCGGCTCCCGGTATAAAATACATTATACCCGCAACTTTCAACAGACAAGAGGATGAAAAAAATAGTACTTACACGGATATATAGCGATTGCGTTTGGGTCGTCGTAGGAAGGTGCTAGGTTGAAATATTTCATTTGTATCTGATTTGGTGATGAGGATGATGATTGTTTTTTATAGTTAGGCCACCTTATATAACTGTGTTTAATGAAGAATGATGGTGTCGAATACTTCGGGCGAGTGACATATATTCTGGAACATACATGAAAAAGGACATTGTTATCACCGTCGAAGTAACTTGACTGCACGGTTGACGCGGTGGCTGGGTAACTGGCTCTCGCGCAACGTGTCGCGGGTTCGACTGCCGTACGAAACAACTCATTGTGTGTGTTGTTCCGGGTGTGTGTGTGTCATGTGTATGTGATACTGTATGTTTGTAAACGCACCCATGACACAGGAGAAAATGCTAGTTAGTACAAATACCTAAACCTTCCTTAAGAATCACTCCATCTATTAAATAAAACCCGCATCAAAATCCGTTGCGTAGTTTTAAAGATCTAAGCATACATAGGGACAGACAAACGGATAGCGACTTTGTTTTATACTATGTAGTGATGAATGTGTTCTACTTCTATATAAATGCTTTACATACGTTTTGAAACTGTGCAATGGCACTTCATCGTCATCATCATTGGCTCGCCTTGCACTTTCAGGTGTCACCGAGTGGATCCAGGAAAAGTAGTGCAGCATGAATATAAAACGAGCAGGCACACTGCACCCCGGACCATGCACACTGAATCCAATCTGCAAGTCGAGTCATAGTCAACTCATTTATTTTGATTATAGCAAACAAGTGTTGGAGAGCCATGCTTCGGCACGAATGGGCCGGCTCGACCGGAGTGATACCACGGCCTCACAGAAAACCAACGTGAAGCAACGCTTGCGTTGTGTGTCGTCATGTGACTGAGGTTACCAGAGGCCCAATTACCCTCCCCTTCCCCAATCTCTCCAATCCCTGAATCCCCAACGATCCTCAAACTCCTAATCCCCAAAAGGCCGGTAACGCACTTGTAACGCCTCTGGTCTTCCATGTGCCAATGGGCGACGCAGATTGCTTAACATCAGGTGATCCGTTGCTCGTTGACCGGCTTATGCCATAAAAAAAACAACTCTTAGCTAACTTACGTTATTCAATAAATTCGATGATATAAGAGCAACCTTGCAGGAACCAAGAAAGCAAAATATAGCTTCCTTGTGCGTACTACTAAGGAGTATTTACTGATCGGTATAACCTGGTTGTGTTCAAGGTCCGAGTGAATAGGTTGCTTATGGGAAGACGTGCTCCATCGTAGGCCTCATCATTACTTACAACCATCAACTTACAACCAGGGCCTTTAGCCTAACGCCACTTTAGCGCTTGTCTACATAGAGATTAGAAATCAAACTGTATGGGGTAGACACTGACAAGTGCCAAAATTTACGTCAATCTTCTATATATATATAATTCAAAGGTGATTGACTGACTGACTGACTGACATAGTGATCTATCAACGCACAGCCCAAACCGCTGGATAGATTGGGCTAAAATTTGGAATACAGATAGATGTTATGACGTAGGCATCCGCTAAGAAAGGATTTTGATAATTTCCACCCCCAAGGGGGTAAAAAAGGGGATGAAAGTTTGTATGAAACTTTGTCAGTTTTAAACCGATCGGGTTTAAATTTGGCATGCAGATAGATGTTATGACGTAAGCATCCGCTGTGAAAGGATTTTGATAATTTCCACCCCCAAGGGGGTAAAATAGGGGATGAAAGTTTGTATGAGACTTTGTCAGTTTTAAACCGATTGGGTTGAAATTTGGCATGCAGATAGATGTTATGACGTAGGCATCCGCTGTGAAAGGATTTTGATAATTTCCACCCCCAAGGGGGTAAAATAGGGGATGAAAGTTTGTATGAGTCTTTGTCAGTTTTAAACCGATCGGGTTGAAATTTGGCATGCAGATAGATGTTATGACGTAGTAATCCGCTGTGAAAGGATTTTGATAATTTCCACCCCCAAGGGGGTAAAATAGGGGATGAAAGTTTGTATGGGACTTTGTCAGTTTTAAATCGATCGGATTGAAATTTGACATGCATGTTATCATATAAGCATCCGCTAAGAAAGGATTTTGATCATTTCCACCCCTAAGGGGGTAAAATAGGGGGTGAAAGTTTATATGAAGCTTTGTCAGTTTTACACCGATGCAGATAAAATTCGGCATGCAGGTAGATGTTATGACGTAGGCATCCCCAAGTAAGGATTTTGATTATTTCCACCTCCAATGGGGTAATGAAGGGGATGAACGTTTGTATGAAGCTTTGTCAGTTTTACACCGATTGGGTTGAAATTCGGCGTGCAGATGGATATTATGAGGTAAACGTCCCTTTAGAAAGGTTTTTGAACATTCTCACCCCAAAGTATGATACTTTGCCAGTTTTAAATTGATCGGGCTGAGACTTTGCATGCATAAATTTACTATGACATAGGTATCTCCTTAGAAAGGATTTTGATAAATTCCACCCCTAAGGGGATAAAATAGGGAATGAGAGTTTGTATAAATATTCTTAGCCATTGAATTTAGAATAATTGAATCTTTTTGAATTACATTCGGTAAAACGATGATTTGGGACCTGGGTAACGTTTGATAGTTTTTATCACAGATGTCCCGCGGGAACGGGAACTATGCGTCAATGCCCCGGGACTGTCTAACTCTTAACCACTGAACTTATTTTAGAGAGATTCGGTACAACAATAGTCGATAGAATAGTTTTTATTACTCAAACCTTACGTGATCGGGCACTGTACTGGTAAGATCCCTGCAGGATTATTTATTTATTGAAACTACGATAAATCATTTCAAAATAGGTAAATCTTACTTGGGCACTGAATTGATTCTGTCAGAAGTCATTAATCTACGCGGACGAAGTCGCGGGCAACAGCTAGTTTCATATAATTTGGTTTTCTATTCTAGAGGTACATGTAGACAAGCGCTAAGTGGCATTTGGCTAAAGCTGCAGGCGTGATAGCGGTCAAACGTCGGCTCATCAAATATAAGACAAAAACAGACGCAAAATGTATAAGGTACGTACAAATGTGAACCAGCCAGTGGTGTTGGAAGCCAGTACCATGCCGTTGTCCCAGATGCAAGACGCATTGCTGTACTGATGTCGCCCGCAGACATACGACTCGGGCACGTGCTGCCTGTCTACCAACTTATAAACAGACAAATCTGATTGAAAACAACTGCCTCGTTGGTTGAGTGGTCGCAAATGCGACTGCTGGGCAAGGGGTCTCGGGTTCGATTCCCGGGTCGAGCAAAGTGTTACTGGGGTCTTAAAAAATTCTCAGCACGGAGTCTGGAATTGTGCCCGATATATGGCAATAGGCTCACCCCCTATTACATGGGACTCATAACATAAATAGTAAAAAGTGGGTGTTACATTGTACAGTGGCATGATGTGTGTGGCCTCTGCCTACCCCTTCGGAGATAAAAGGCGTGATGTTATGATGGTGATCTGATTGAAAACTCTTGTGATCCTAACAGTTCATTATTCGGTTCTGGACAGACCTAAACCCATTAAGCAAAAGTATATTTTGCTTTCTTGCTTTTCTTCTCGAATAAACTTTTAGACAAAAAGCATATATGATACAGTAAAGTTAAAACAGTCTATTTTTGACTGAGGGAAAATTCTAATATTTTGACTTGGAATTAATCGTAATCATATTTGTCAATAGGGTAGATGACTAATTTTTATTTTAATGTCCGTCTGGTAAATTATTTAAAAACATTAGACACATATTTTTTATTTTCTTATGCAAACGAATAGTTTCGAAGTTATATTGATTTGAAATATCGCATGACGTCACTTTTGAGTACGATTTATACTCTAAAATGACGTAGCTACCTCCCACTCCTAAACTTTGATTCGTTTTTTCTAAGTATTGTTTTCTTATACGATAGAATAAAAAATACGTGTCTAATATTTGTTCATTACCTAACTGACGGACTAATTAGATTTTTAATTTTCATACCCTGTCAACATCTCTATTATATTTGCCAATTGTTCTCTATAACCACTGATAACAATTTGAGGATTTGTTATTTAGCTGTTCTGTGCCTTTAGCCAAACGCCACTTTAGCGCTTGTCTACAGAGAGAGTAGAAATCAAAATGTATGGGGATGACACTGACAAGTGTCAAAATTTACGTCAATTCCATATACCTAATTTGGTTTTCTATTCTACATGTAGAACATAACATAACATAACATCACGCCTTTTTATCCCCGAAGGGGTAGGCAGAGGTGCACATTTCGGCACTTAATGCCACTGTACAATGTAACACCCACTTTTCACTATTTATGTTATGAGTCCCATGTAATAGGGGGTGAGCCTATTGCCATATATACCGGGCACATTTTTCCAGACTCCGTGCTACTACTGAGATTTTTAAAAACCCAGTAATACTTTGCCCGACCCGGGAATCGAACCCGAGACCACTTGCCCGGCAGTCGCACTTGCGACCACTTGGGCAATGAGGCATGTAGCGCATGTCTACATGTAGACAAGCGCTAAATAGCATTTGGCTACAGCTGCTGTTTACTAGGTTGTGTGGATGCTATATAAGTTATTAGAATGCTATTACTTACTCCTTCTTTTTCATAGAACTCGTCGCAACGGTTTGTGTCCACCGACCGAATTTTGTAAATTACTTTTTCCCAGATATTGTTTAAGTTGTCTGTAACAATGTACAAATAACTTTAACAAACGCCACAAGCAAAAAATGTAGAATACAGTGCCGGAACTGAGATTAAGATTTTTTGTAATGAATAACATTAAAAATACATGAAACTTTTTATTTTTTATTTATTATATTACATGGGACTTACAAGGAACATATAACATAACATCACGCCTTTTTATCCCTGAAGGGGTAAGCAAAGGTGCACATTACGGCATTTAATCCCACTGTACAATATAACACCCACATGTTATGAGTCCCATGTAATAGGGTTTTTTTAAGGGGGGAAAATCATCGAATTACTTGTCCCGCCTGGGTGAGGCGAGAGGGAGTGTCAGACTCTTACTGACTAAAAACCACCCTGTTCCTTCTCTTGCGCGTCGAACCGGAGCCCCGGTAACGGTAAAGGTTCTCCGCGACAATGTAATAGGGGGTGAGCCTCTTACCATATACCGGGCACATTTCCAGACTCCGTGCTACTACTGAGATTTTTTTTTAAACCCAGTTATACTTTGCCCGACCCAGGAATCGAACCCGAGACCCCTTGCCCGGCAGTCGCACTTGCAACTACTCACCAACGAGGCAATCTTACTTACAAGCACTTACTAACAAGTAACTGATGAAAATATTCACTTCTTGCACTTATGTCCATTCGAAGACGTTAAAGAATTTTTATAATGTTAACAAAAATAGTGTTTTACCATCTGTATATCCGAAGAGGTAAAGATGATCAGAGTCGTACGAAATGTCCGGGAAGCATATGGGCATCAATGGACCTGTTCACATACACAATGAAAATTATTGACTGGAATGATTTTCTACCATCGAGTAATAATTACAAGACTGATAACACTTAAAGAACTCCTAATGTTTTTTTATGGGATAAGCCGGTAAACGAGCAGATGGGTAATCTGATGGTAAGCAATCGGCGTCGCCCATGAACACCTGGAACACTAAAGGCGTTACAAATGCGTTACCAGCCTTTTGGAGATTGGGAATTTGAGGATTTTTTGGGATTCAGGGATTGGGGAGATTAGAAAAAAGGGAGGGAGGATAATTGGGTCTCCGGTAACCTCACTCATATGACGAAACACAACACAAGCGTTGTTTCACGTCGGTTTTCTGTAAGGCCGTGGTATCACTCTGATCGAGCCGGCCCATTTGTGCCAAAGCATGGCTCTCCAACACTTAATTAATGTTGAAACTTATTAAGTATTTTAGAAGATTAGAAGTCTTATTCTATATCGATTATTATTATACCCATTAAGACAGGTACCAATACAGGCAAGAATAAAAGAAAAAACATGATAAACCCCACTACGGTTGGTCATCGTGGTTAGCGATGGACACCCCCAAAATGTAATAACGAAAATATAAAATAATATAGCGATTAACGTTAAGTAAAATATACTCCATATAGCAACATTGAATAGAAGTTCTGAAGAAGACTAGCCTAATACTAATACTTTAAGGAATTTGAAATATATACAAGGTGTATTTTTGAAGCCGTGTCATTTCTCGGGGGCAAGTCACAGAAGTCATAAAGGTTCAATGTAAGAGAAATTTCGGCCCAATAGTTAAAAATACGGCTATAATAAATCGTTTAAGTTCGACAGTATTCCAGAATAAGCGACAGCAATGTTTCTAATTGGAGTTTTATGGAATTAGGAATAATATCAATTACGTGTTTGAGTTTGGGTGTGTTCAGCCGCGTTATAAAGCTAGTTACAAGACGGCGGCGTATAGGTCACACTTACGGATTTCTGTAATTTACAAAAAAATTAAAAATTTTACCTACAATTTTTTTTTATTGATTCGGACTCAAAATCGATAGCCAAGTTACCTCCTAGAAAATGACGCGGCTATAAAACAACACCTTGTATATGTCGAGTCGCCACCGAGTGAAGACGTCGTCTCGGAACTGCACTACGTTTCGCTTAGTGCCCAGTTACCGTACCTTGTGATTAATTTTACACTCATTTCCTATTTACACGATACTCATATTCACCCACATTATGCCCGAGCAACCGGAACATAATCATGCCTCGTTTGACATATATGTTATTCTATTACAAGTAACCTATCAAATTGTGACTAGTAGGTATTATTATTGTAGGTTACAATTATTAGGAACTCACTATCATCCGGAATAGCGAGTTTGATGACAGCAATGCTGCTGTATACAGCAGTTTTGTACTCGGGGTGAGTGACGTAGGAGACCGGCCGGCAGTACACCGCCACGTCGCCCTCCGTAATAAACATCGCTTGACTTTGCTCTCTGAAATAATATATTACCAGTTCATGGTATATGGTATCAATGTATTATCAGAATACAAAATTTTTGTCAAGTTTAAACTGTCAAACACCAAGCGGTCACCGGTGACCGCGACCTATTGTTCTTCAATTGTGTCTATAAAACCGGTACTCGACGAGTTAAAGTTAATTACGTGACGAAATTAAACGGGTTTGATTCCCGGGTCGGACAAAGTATTACTAGGTTTTAAAAAATTCTCAGTAGTAGCACGGAGTCTGGAATTGTGCCCGGTATATGGCAATATGGCTCACCCCTTATTACATGGGACTCATAGCATAAATAGTGAAAAGTGGGTGTTACATTGTACAGTGGTATTAAGTGCTGTAACGTGCACCTCTGCCTACCTCTTCGGGGATAAAAGGCGTGATGCCATGTTATGAAATTAAACAACGATTTAAGCATACATTTAAACGGTTTAACTTACAAAAATACCTGCTTCGGTATCTTGGCAATATCGTCTGCATTGGCGAGCGCATATTTGTGTTTAATGAGTACGATTCCAGTAACAACTTCTTCAACCTCATCGATATCTTCTGTGGAAATTAAAATTTCGATAAATCCTCTCAACATGAGAAGAGTTAAAGTGCATACTGCATATACGATTTATTGGAATCAAAATACTAAATCTTCTACTAGGAACTTAACGAAGACTAACAGAGACTAGCAGCATATACATAAATTGTGTCTATCACTCACTCATTTCCTAGTAACTCACATCAAACACAATAGGTTAACCGAGTGTCAAAGTCAAAGTCAAAGTCAAAGCATTTATTTCAATTAAACCATAGTTTGGTACTTTTGAAACGCCAACAAATACAATATAAAAAATAGTCTGTCAGTCAGTCCGCCAGTGAAACTAGGTGAAGCTAGGTGCTCATTCCAAAATGTAGATTCGAAAGGAGACGAACGAGCAAGGAAAATAAGTGTGATATGTTTAGATCTATGCCTTACTCAAGTAAACTATGAATAATCCAAGCCAGCTGAAGTCGGAGCTCCGTCCCATGTTCCCATCATCTAAAATGATCCCCTTCTCCGTGTCGCACCGACTTGTAAAACATTGCTCTGTAACAAACATGTCAAGGGGCACCCTTAAATTAAGGCACCCATTTACGCAATAAGAGGATTTTAATAAATAACATAACATGACATCACTCCTTTTATCTTCGAAGGAGTAGGCAGAGGTGCACATTACTGCACTTGATGTCACTGCACAATGTAACGCCCACTTTATACTATATATGTATGCCATATACCAGGCACAATTCCAGATTCCGTGTTACCACTGAGATTCTTTTAAACACCCATAAATACCTCAAGACCTCTTGCCCGACAGTCGCACTGACAACCACACAGCCAACGAGACAGAGGATTTTAATAAATTTCACCCAATATCCAATTTTTATTCAATACTAGTTTCTGTCCGCGACTTTGTACGCGTAGACACAACAAAAAAATAATCAGCCAAATCGGTTTAGTCATTCTCAAGTTATGACGTGACAACGAAAATCTGGTTTCATTTTTATATACATATATAGATTAAGTGTCACTCACCAAAGAAAATCACTACTATTTCTAGTAACACTAAAATTCTTATATCCATAATTTTTAGAACGACATTTTATATGATTTAGCTTAAAAAATTAAGTACATTAACGTCTTGATGTGCCTTTTATAGCGACAACTTTGAGCGTGTAACTCACGAACCAAATACTATATATGCATCTATTGTATCTTAGGCCTAGTGCACACCGGTGACGACGAAGATACTGAGAGTAAAGCAACTTAAAATAAACCTTAATAGCTATGGGCATACGGATGAAAACGGCACACCCAAGATGGTACACGCGCGGTGCGCCGTCAAGCTTCTTTGGCATGCCGTTGTTTTGTACACTGGGCCTTATAGCCACACTTCGTAATAGCAACAAACACAAATCATTCAACCAATGGAGTATGAACTGAATGGGACAAGCCCGCCACACCCAAAACCACTGCAACTCCTGTAAGTCAGGATCTACAGTAGATACAAGCATGAAAACACTGGAACACTGAAGTCCGGCGCGTCCTAGGGACATGAATTACTGTCTTGGTTCCCGCAACCAAGTGAATCAGAAGATATTATAAGAGGAGAAGAAAAAAAAACGATAGTTCCCTAATCTGAATGTGAGTGTAGCAACAATGAACAAGCGGTGGCTCTATAGTACTCCACTCTTCTATGGCTTTGACTGCCAAAAGAAAACTGTTGGAGGCAAATCCTCTGCTAATGTCGGTCACCGGTGACCCCCATGGCGTTTAATGTGTTAAAATAGCGTTTGACTATTTGGATGTTAAGACAAAGAAATTGAGTAGGTAGGAGTAACACTCAAGCTGAAACGTAGGTTACGATGTGATATAAAGTTGCTCATAGGCAGACGTGCTTCATCGTAGGCTCTCAATCCCCACCCTATAGTAGATAGCCTTAGGCAGGCCAAACATCGACCGATCACATGTATATCAAAAAAATCTTACTTAGAACTCCATTCGTTCAATACTGTGTGTTTTCAAATAAACAGATTCCTACATTTGTTGTTGTTTTGTGCTAAAAGTGAGAAGACAATGCTACATCTGTACTCCAGCAACAGTTAGAACTATGGTAAATATTACTGAATTATGTCGAACAATGTAATATTACGAATTTAATTTATTTCCCGAAGACATGAATATTACATTTTATTATACTTTCGATATTTATGTTACAAATCCTAGGTAAGTTAGTATAATTATCACCAAAAGTTAGTATAAATATAGTTAGTATATGTATATATAAAGTGTGATAATTTTTAAATGTTTTATACATATATATAATAACCACCCATAGGGCCAGACAAAGACTGTGGAACACCAATTGCTACTATTCTTACATACCTCTTTCGCTTCATCAACAGTCATCAATCTTTTCATGCATGCTCGTCGGTTAAGTGTACTTTTAATTTAGCCCTTCTTTAATATATTCTATTATGTCGAAAAATCGAAATAACGTATTTGTCTGGCAAAACTACCTATTGACTTGTGACTGTTATATCGCAATAGACTCACCCTCTATTTTATAAGAATCACTCTTTCTATTAAAAAAACGTCATCAATATCCGTTGCGTAGTTTTAAAGGTCTAAGCATACATAGGGACCAACAGACGGCGGATAGCGAGTTTGTTTTATACTATGTACTCATTACATTAATATTATAGAACATTTCATCTATGAGATACTTCTTATAAGACATTTTATTGTATTTATACAACCATAAATCCAGGCGTTTCCTGACAAAGAGACGCTATTGTGACATTCTATTAAAGAACCCATAAAATACAAAGGCGCTCTCTGTTCCAACACTAAGATGGAATGGCTTACTAATCCAGCTCTACCTGCCTCTAGCACTACAGGCTTTTATCCTGTGCAGTTTCAAAGCACTTAATCCAACTACTTTTGTAATAAAATTACTCATTGCTACTAAGAACGGGATTCCTTAGCGTTTACCTATATTTTAATCGATATATAATTTGAATAAATTGTCATTTAATATCAACTTTGTAGCGGATTTGATACGATTTTTTTAATCACACTAATCTATATATATAAAATTGAAACCCGTTTCCCATTGTCACGCCATAACTTGAGAACGGCTAGACCGATTTGGCTGATTTTTTTTGTGTTTGTTATTGCCAGGAGAAGGTTCTTATTACAGAAAAAAATCCTGAAAATCTTATGGGAACGGGAGAAAACGGGATTGCGCGTACGAAGTCGCGGGCAGAAGCTAGTATATTATGAATGTAAAGTTTCGTTGTTTGGATGTTTGTCCGTCAATCACACTGAAACTATTGAACAGATTTTGATTAAATTTGGTATAAAAGCAGGCTGACTTAGGTGATAGGATACCCGATACGATACTATTAAATGCCACGACATAAAACAGGAATACGCGGACTATGCCGCGGGTAAAAGCTAGTACCTAATAACTCGTAACAACGCTCATTGAAACAAAAGTGTGTATAAAGTTTTGCGTGTAACATTATTTCAATAATCTGTAGTGAGATGCAACAGAAAAAATAATAAAACTTAAACCTTTAAAAGTTATCGTTGAACTGTATTTTATTCATAAACAATACGAATGATACAATTCCAGTTTCACGAATTGATAGGAATAAAAAAATCTGTAAAAACAGCGTGGAGTGGACGAATTAAATATGAAAACTCAACGTCCAATACCACGGACCAGTAAATATGATGCACGACTGTTTTTACCGATATTTCTGGAATAAATAGAATCTCTGTTTCTATCGGAATATTTCAGACCTTTAAAGTCCAATTTCATTTCTAAGTAAACATGCATTTACGCATACGCTTTTATTATATAGAGGTACATACACTAGCTACTTCCGCGCGGCTTTACACGCTCTGCTCAGCTCCTATTGGTCGTAGAGTGATGTTTTATAGCCAATAGCCATCCTCGATAAATGCGCTATCCAACACAAAAAGAATTATTCAAATCAGACTTGTAGTTACTGAGATTAGCGCGTTCAAACAAACAAACAAAAAAACAAACACATCCGCTTTATATAATAAGTATAGTTAGTATTATTTTATTTTTTTTTAAGGGGGGAAAATCATCGAATGACTGCTCCCACCTGGGTGAGGCGGGAGGGAGTGTCAGACTCTTACTGACTAAAAACCACCCCGTTCCTTCTCCTGCACGTCGAGCAGGGGGCGGTTATCCGTTAGGTTCTCCGCGACTCTGAATCGGCAAGTATAGTTAGTATAAGATAAGATAACTTACTAACGAAAACCGCTCCTAACGTATTCTAAAAGACAAATCGATGCAACTGTACCAGGAATTCAGAAACCATCTGGATTTGAATTCTCTATTAATGGACCTCCTAACATAATGCTTTTGAGGTAAGACTCAAGCTATCTACCGCTATATCAGAATCGCATTGTACCAGGAACTCAGAAAGGCGAGGCGATCTATTATTCCAAATTTCAATAGAGACAAAGTTCGGCACGTGACCGATGTCCGCTGGGACACTCGCGTGGTTCTCCGTTAGTTAGGGTGGGCACACACTGGTGGACAATTGAATGGATACCCGGGGATTAATCGTGAGACTGCCCGAATGTGTATTTATCTTAGTTATCCACTGCGAATGGGTTCATGTTTTCGGCTTACATTCAATCCTGCATGTGACCCACATAAATAATAAGTTTTAAATGGTTATTTTCATTACCTTTTCCTGCTCCAGGTCCACAGGAAGAAATTCCAATAGGAATAGGTGGTACCTTTGTACTTTAATTGTATGTATGTGTTGTCCTTTATGTTGTATGTGTGTACATAAATAAATAAATAATAAACAAATAAATAACTGAAAATCGCGGGTTGTCACGTGGATATACTGAGAAAAGCTCTACTAGTGTCGAACCACAGAGGGGTTCTTCTTCATGAGCAGCGTGCGAGGTCGCGGCGACGTCGCGCAGCTCACCGCGAGTAACCCGCGATTTTTGGTTAATTTAGTATGTCTCACGATGGTTATTTTTATGTTAACAGTAAACAAAAACTGTTTTTAGTAAAATTGCAAAGTAACTGTCTCGTTAGCCGAGTGGTCACAAGTGCGACTACCGTGTAAGGGGCCTCGGGTTCGATTTCCGGGTTGTGCAAAGTACTTCAACCTCCTCTTTATTGAAATCTGTTAATTTAAATACAAAAAACCTTCTCCAAAGTATTACAAACGCTTTTCTATAAACGACATCAAAATCGCTACAGTCGATCGTGAGATAATAACATTCAAACATACAGGTACAACTGAGAACATCCTTCTTTTTTTGAAGTCGATTAAAAATAATGCAAATGACAGAGAAAATGTTGTATTAAGAGTTTCTATTTGTATCTCTTTAGGGAGTATTAGACATAATATTATCGTAGTTTAAATTACGTACTATTCAGCCGAATATTCAAACGTGTTCAAATACATCCAATGTACATATAAACAGCCAACAACGTATCGTAAGTTAACCAAATATTAAAACGAGGCGTACAATGTTTAGGTAAATAGT